AAAGACATTGCTTATCGTTGCTTTTAAACAATAAGCATCAGCTTATTGTTTAAAAGCATTACTGCAGTGAGTGTCATGCATCTGAAGCAGCAGCATAAAAAGCAACTTTGTTCATGTTAATGTATAGCTGCATCAGCCTTTCCATCCATCCACTTTCTATACCCACTTATCCTTATCCAGCAGTCTTTGTGGAAGATGCAGAGTCTTCCACCTTGGACAGGCCACCAGTTCCTCACAGGGCAACACAGACACACAGGATAAGCAACCGGGGATGCACTCAATTTGGAGAGCTCAAATGACGTGCCATGTATTTGGACTGTGAAAAAAAAAGGTGCAGTATCCAGACAAAACCCAAAGAGAACATGCAAACTCCATATAGAAAGACCCCAGGCCAGAATTTGGACCTTCTTGCTGCAAGACTAAAGTGTTACCAACTGTGCCACTGTGTTTTATAGATAGACAGTGAAATTGTAGCAGTGTGTGTGAAGAGTGTAAAGAGAAACATATTACATAAATTTAGCACAAAGAACATTTCTTGCACAAGCAGATTTTTCCATTTGTGCAATTTTGTCAAATTGTTTCAAGTGTAACTGACCTTTACTGAAAAGTTGAAGTAAAGCAAAACCAAGGTGGGGGAAAAAAAACTTATACTACCATGCACAGAATAGCAATGTCCAGAGAGAGTCTTAGATGTGATCATAAAATCACTCTACTTCGGTAGATCATCGAAAACCTGCTCTAGCGTGGTCACCTACAGCTAAAATGTTACCTGATCTAAAGTGTGAAGAACCCAAAATTCAATAGCATCACATTTTGTGCAAAAAAGATGTCTACATCAGCATCATAACAAAACTAATCTCCCACCATTCAATCTTTAAATGTGTGATATTGAATTATAACGTCAGTCCTGATCTTCAAAATATCTACAAATGAAACACAGGGCAAACAAAACGGCCGAGTCTAGTTTTAAACAGAGCAGCTGTGAACATAATTCACACGGGTCTGTTCAGGTACAGTATGCCGTCTCGTCATACGTACTTGGCAAGAAATGGTGCACTGCAACAATTTCTAGCCACATATGATAAATGGAAAAAAAAAAAAAAACACGTCCATTTATAAACGCATTCCTGTCATGCTTGATTTCTTCATTCGAGGATTGCTTGATAATATCTTCATTTCCGAAAGCTCATATGTGCTTGTTGTACCAGATGAAGTTTCCTATGCTGATGTTTATGCAGTTTAAGCCAAAAGTCCTAAAGTGTTAGTCATTCCACTCCACGCTTTGGCCAGTCAGTCTCGGCTTCACAGGCCTTTTCATCTCTCAGTCCAAGTGTTATCTCAGTCAGTCGAATGAGCAAAAAGGACATTCTGCCTTAAGTTTAGATCAATCTTGGAAATGAGTCATCAGTCACAAGGTAATTACACCATTCAGTTGGGAATCTGCACTGTTAATAGAAGAGATGGCTGGTGTGCCAACAGCAGTAAAAAGGCAAATAGGAGAATTAAGAAGCGTGAAAGAGTCAGATAAGGTTCAAAACACACCAATTCTAACAATAACACCAAAAACTGGACAATTATAGCATATTTTTTCCTTTTATCAACCACCCTGCAGTCAGTCGAGTGAAGGAAAGAGCCTCCATATCGCAAAGCTGAGCAGCGACAGCTAGAAACTACAAAACGCCTTGAACTCAACAGAAAAGTGTGAAACAAAAGTAATGCCTTGCAAAAGTTTCCATACTGAACTTTTTCACATTTTTCACAACCTCACACTTCATTGTATTTGACAGAGCTTCATGTGGCAACACAAACAATGGGAAGAGGAAGAAAGACGCATCAGACTCATCCCCCAGAGGAAGCACGGTGGTGGCAGGATCATGCTGCGGGGATGCTTTTCCTCAGCAGAGACTAGGAAGCTGCACAGGCTTGATAGAGGGATGTGTGATGCTAAATACAAAATGCTAAAGCCTTTTAAAACCATATATTCGTCTTCACACTTCATGCACTATTTTGAGTTTCTCCATCACATTAAATCTCAATGAAAACACACCGACATGCTGTTGTAATGAGGCAATGTATCTATTAGAAGAGGTGAAATGGGTAAAGAGTCCCAGTCTTCAATGCTAGGGTGTGGCCTAATAATAATAATAAAAATTAAAGAGTGAATCAAAGCTGCCCTTTCATCTGTTTTCCACGAAGAGGAGGCAGGACAAAAGAGGGAGAAAAGCCTCGACACCTGCCAGCGGTGGTTATTAATGGTCAACAGGAAGTCAATGGCCTTTGGGTGCGAGGCTCAGAAACTGAACTCCAAACAGCATGTAAATATTTGTCGACAGAACGTCGCGCACAGCGCTGCGTAGTGAAGCGTTGCTGTTCCATTCAGCTCCTTTAATTACCTGTGCGTGTGATTTAATCCGTCGTATGTCTCAGCCCATTCCTCTTAATGACGTGCTCCACTCACTTCTTCTCATTTCTGCTTCAGTTGTGCACACAAGGCCCACGCCGAGAAGCCTTTGTAACGAAAACGAAGAACGGGGCCCTGTCTTAATGACAAAAATATCGAGTGGATCTCCGTCTAAAGTTGTTGAAGCATCCCGGAGTGTAAATGTTATTGGTGGTAATGCTTCCCCCCCACCCCAATCGCTTTATCTCCCCTGAAGAGGTACATTTTTTGCATTTGGATGTGTGCAACAGAAACAGGCCCCCCAGTTCATATCAGCTTTCAGGGTAAAGAGCCAGCATAGAGCTAATAGAGCAAATACCAGACGAAATTTGGGGAACAGAGCTGAGTGTGCGCATGAATTTGGATGACTGCGAAAAGGTTTCCCATAAAACATGTTTATTTTTCAGCCAGTGTCTGTCCACCTCCGTGACTGATTTGAATTTTGAAAAGATTTTTATCCTGCTGAAACACTGGGGCCACAGATGACTGCAGGAAAAGGCTGAAATAACACAGTTTAATCAATAACATAAAATGAAACGAATAAAACGAAGAAGTCTCCTCTATCTGCAACCCCAGAAGCCCAGAGGCAGCAGCTTAACCCGCAGCCGGCCCAAAACATAAGCAGATTAACCCTCTGGGGCTTCAAGGGGCCTCAAAAGAGCTTGACTTCTCAATTTACCAATGAACTATGAGTCATTTCCACCATGCTAGTCATAGTTTTAAAATTATGTGATAATTTAATTTCACTGGTTTGTCGTTAGTTATCGTTAGCTTTATTTCAGACAGCTGACCACCAGTCCACAGCAAACTTGGGGAAATGCAGTGAGGCATTACTCGAACTTATTTAAAGCGACTCTATTCACTCTGGAACTTTCTCTGAAATCCTTTTCAATGACTGCAAGTCCACAAACATGCAAATAATTAAGGCTTGGACAATTTAAATAGCCGATGTCACATCTTAAAATTTCTGTATTTAAGAAATTCATAGTTGATTGCACAGTTAAAATGATTTAAGCTGTCACAATGATCCCAAACTAAATTCTGCTGAGGGTTCATTTCAGTCACAGTTTTTGATATGGGTGATTTGGCTCACTGCTCAGGGTAGCATGTTCTTAGGGGTGGCATGAGGTAGCAAATGATTACATAAACTAGTCTGCAAGTCATGATGGTTTCCAATGTGGTAATTAAGTATCACTTTTGGGGGCCTCTGGTCTGCATTTGATCTTCTCTGATCCAAAATCTAAAATACTTTGACTTGTCAAACTTGATCTGGACGTCCCACAATGACTGAAGATCCTTTAAAACTAGTCTAAACACAAAAATTGTCATCTTGATTTTTTGTTGTTGTTGTTGCTGTTGTTCATCAGGAATTAATTTACCCTAGCATTGAAAGTGCAATATATGCTAAAACTGAAATGCAATTTACACTATCATTACAAAATTCTGATCAGTTTTCTTAAAATGATTGATAAACTTCTGTCTGGGCTTTCCTCAATCCCAATAATCCAGTGGGTTAAGCATAGCCAAATGTATAATCAATATTGTGTAAAAATTTTAATAAATAATAATAGTAGTAGGGAAATTATAGCTGAAAAAAGCAGTTCATATTTCAGGTCAGACAATATTTATCACTACATTGTGATAAATGTAGCCTACCTGTGATATCAGACAAATGAGCTTTTTATTTGTTTGTTTTTTTGTCCCTATTGGTTCAATCCATCTGTAATAAAAAGCTATTGGTTTTTGCCAAATGGGGTTGGCGGGTGTATAAAGGAGGGCCTCGCCCAGGGCCAGGAACCTGCACTGGTTCCATGTCATCTTACCCCAGCTCTGTGCTCACCTTGGAGGAAAAAAGAAAAAAGAAATCTGCAGCTTTGAGAATCGATGGGAACAAGTTCTCCATAGAGAAAGAAGGATTTTGGTTTATGTAATCAATGATGATTCCTGTGCAACAACCCACACTGGGATGTCAAACTTTTATGGAGTCATTGAATCAACTATGAAACCTGATTCCAGAATGGAAAGTCTGCAGGTATTCAGTCTATGAAGGAATTGATTTGGCAAGTGGGGGGATTTGGGAGACTTGCAAATATTGACTCACATCTTCTTCGCACTTCATACCTCTCTCTCCCCCCTTCCTCTCTCAGTGGAGTTTTGTCCACATAATCAAATATTTTAATCTACCTGGGAATTTGAGTGGGCTTGGGTCAGATAGGTGCCGAGGACCGTGTTGTTTAGCAAAAATTCAACGCACTCTAGCGAGTGCCTTTCTAAATAAATAACATTTTTTTTTTTAGGCTATGTCAAAAATATCGGATTCAATTTACAATAATGTGTAAGTTTTTTCCACCGCAATATTATCAAACTCCGAAGTCGCCACGGGACAAAAGCCGCAGATAAACGCAGGAACGCTGTGCCACAAAGTTGTCATCGTTCACCAGACCCGCTCCGCTCTTCCTCTCTGCAGACTTTCACACGCATGTTTGGAAAAAACAAGAAAGAAGGAAAGAAAAAACTTCCTAGCTTGACTGTAGGAGACTAAGGTCTACACCAGTCTTACCTGTTGGCCCCTCGATGCCGTCGGCGTAGATCTGGACACTTAAAATCAGCAGAAAGGCGCAGGTGTTCATCGTGTACATGTTTTAGTCCACTTTACATGTGACGAACAAGTCATTTCATTCACTCCGTGGGGTCCAGGAAGGCGGCAGCAGGCAAAGCGGAGTCCATCTATTTCCCTCAGTTTTGTTTTTTAACTGAGTGGAGTTTCCGAGACACTGGAGGGAGACAGGGCAGAGCTACTTCTGCAAACTGACGTCAGGGTAAACAGTTCAGGAGAGAAATTTTCTTTCCCGAGCCCACTTCCCCTCCCCAGCCTTCAGCTTTTCCACTCAAAGCATGAGCCGGGCGCCTCCAAGTGGTCAGGCGCAGGAACGGCACCCCGGTGTTCTGACATCGGCCAAGCTCCACTCGACACCGTGTGTGACCGTGTGCTCAAAATCACATGTTATCTGCCACATCTGTGGGAAATAGAAGATCTTTGGCTGCTTTGGGGGTATGGGGGAACATGGCAGATATTTTGTACAATGTCCTCCACTTGGTTGACGTATATTTTAGTAGCAGTTTGATTTGAATTCAAAGGTATTCATACCCTTTTCATTTTTTTTTTACACCGTCACGTCACAACCACAAATTTCAACGTATTTTGTTGGGATTTTATGTGTTAGACTCGCATGATTGTGAAGTGGAAGGAAAAACATTTTTCCAAATGAAAATCTGAAAACTGAATTGAGTTTAGTTTCAGCTAATATAAACCAACAGTTTGTAGGACCAGCTAACATTGCAAATACAAGCTATCAAAGGTGTGTCGACCAACTTAGTGCATCTGCAAACTGATGAGGTGTTCCTGCCTTTTCCTCTTTGCAAAACAGCTCAATCACTCAGATTGAATGGAAAGCATCATTAAATATCAGGTCTCAAGCCTTGAAACACTCTGAGCTGGATTAAGGTCTGGACTTTGACTGGTTTTCAGAAGTCTGGTCCAGTTGTGGTTGTGAATCAACAAGCTGGGGGCCTTGAGATCCTGATTGGAAATTACATTAATTAAATAAAAATAATATTATCAAAATATTTTAATTGTGTAAATTTTAGAAGATATGATGAAATTCAGCTCTTTAAAAAAACAGTAAATTAGGTTTTGATGCTGTGTGTCTCATTGCACTGCAGTTTAGTTTAGACTATCTTTTCGGAGAAATGCTTTACCGTCTGTAGTTATTTTCTCCTTCTTGCCACAAGTAGTTTGCATGAAGGGAAAGATTTACATTTTGGTCTCATCTAATCAGAGAAACTTCTTGCAATTTCTCTATAAAGGGCAGCATTGTTTAGTGCATAAATAATAAATGTCCTGTCAACATGTTGTCACATCATCTGAGCTGCGCATCTCTGCAGCTGCTGTGCCAGAGTAACAATAGATCCCTTGATCCAACCTGACCACGATGCTCTTTGTTCAATAATATTGTCTAACACACCACTGACACCACACAGAGCTATTTATACTAAGATTAAATAACACACAGCCGTCTGGAGGTACTGTATTTTATTTAGGAGTAACAGAGTAAAGTGGCCTCAATGCAAAATACATGCCACGTCTTTCAGATTTTTATTTGTAAACCCTTAAAATAAAACTATGTGTGCTTTGTGTTTCACTTCTCAGTTGGTGCAGTCCTCTGTGTTGGTCTACCACCAAAATTCCCAATGAGACTGTGATGTGACGATACGTGGAAAACCTCAATAAGGTATGAATACTTTTGCCAGGCAGCATAGTTTAGAGATCCAACATTTGGGATAAATTCAGACAGTGTAAAACAGTACTGGCTGCTGAAACATGAGTCAGCAGAGGCAACAGGTCTATGTTCTTGTTATTTCAGACAGCTACATGCCAGTCAACAACATTTGCAGTTCTACCTAAAATGTCACCCTGTCATGATTATTTTTCAAGTAGGCATCATTCCCATAGAAATTATAATGATTAACACGGTTTTGTTTTGGGGGATTTTTTTGTCGTTGTTTTTTTTTCCTCCCCTTGTTGCACCGATTTAATAATATCAAGTTGAAAAGTGACAGATTAATTTTAATTTGCTGGATTCTTTTTCCAGAGATGCCGGACAAGCAACACCAGAATGTGGAGCAAACACACGTCCCGTCTTGTCATTTGGTTCATGCTGCATCCCAAATCGTATAATGATAGGAAAACCCATGCTGTCTATTGCAGGATTGTGACACCCAGACTCTAGGTGACATTTATAAGCACACATATTAACAAATGGCTGACACTGAGCTATTTTGTACAATACATCAGAATGTCAGTCTTTATAATAACCTTATTATAATATAGCTGATGATGTGTTTACCTGGACAGAGCTAGTTAAAAATGTTATACATTCTTGTGTCTAAAAATTGCATCGGAGATCCGTATATATAAAAATATTCTACACTGAAAAGGTTTGGTTTCCATTTTCCTTCTTTTTATTTTGTTTACAGCCAAGATAAGTCCCATATTCTCTCAGTTATGACAGGTACACATGCCTTTGCACCTTCCAATGACAGCTGCAAGGCATATTTCTCCATAAATTAGGAAGTTTGACATATTGTGTGTATTCAATTTGCATTTGATGGGGTTACTTTTCTCCATCTCTAGCAACAGCTGGTTATGTTATGTCCTTGAAATGTTGGACTGCAGAAATCACTTTTGGATTTAATGAAATGTGCACAAAGCAGATGCAAACATATGGCACAGGTGTAATAATTATTGCAAAGTAAGTGATCTGACGCATCTTTGCCAGGTCGTCTGACGTATCCATAGACTTGTAATGTAAATTGTTCATAAGAACGGACAGAGAAGTCTTGATCTTTTATACACATTTGACTGCTGTTACATAGTATCCTTCCCTGACCTGAGATAACAGGCTCAGTCTATCAGTAATGTCACCAGTCTAAATATGTTTTTAACCCTAAAGATTTTTGTGTATTAGAAGTGTTATCTGAATCATCTTACTTAGTCATAAAATCTTAAAAAAAAAAAAAAAAACTTGTAAAAAATTATACCATAGTTATTTAATTCAAAGTGAGCTTCCTATTTTATTCAATAAAATATCTGTTGGAAACTCTGAGTATGAAACTGTTTCTGCTTGGAGGAAACATGATTTGCAATCTCTGATTGTTTACATTGTTACTCTCTCACTTGTCTGAAGAATGTGGTGGAAAAAAATGAATATTTTTCTTATTCACCGGCCAGTACTGCAAGTTTTCCAAAGTCCATAACTGACTGGCTGATCAGGCTTCTGTGGAGACGCCCTAACAAATGGCTGCTGGCTGCCAAGGCAGCTGAGTTCAAGTACTCTGGCAGAAAACTCAAAACTGATTCTTTTTTGTTTTTGTTTTGTTTGTTTTGGGGTTTTTTGCATTCCACACTTTGTTCATTGATCCGATTTTTGTATGAAGTTCCGGCAAAGTTTTATTTAGTTTTTCTTTTTTCACTTTTTTCTTTGTGTCCAATTAGGTTTCAAATTCAAAGTGAGCTCTCCACTCTGAGTGACCTTTTCAGCTGGACTAAATCTTCACAGCTGTGTTAAGATTTTCCAGTAAAGTAAACTGAGAGGCAGCAAAATAGAAGCTACTACCCTGGGAAACCTTTGAGAAAAGTTAAACTCTTAATAGTGCAAGACTGCATTTATTTCACATTCCTCTTCAAAAAAAAAAAAATCCTAAATTCTGATTCTATATATAAAGAGAAAGAGGTATCCAAATTAACTTGACTGGGGGGACAATAATTGTCCCTAAAGCCTATAACTATTGGTGCCACAGTAGTGAGGGAGCAACTGTAACTAAGCATTTCAAATAATCAGGAATGAGTGTTTTCATATTGCAGATGGGTTTTTTTTTTGTTGTTGTTTTTTTTTGGCAAATGAGGAAAGAGCTTTTGTGTCCATTTTGCTTTGGACCTCTCACATGGAAGATGAATCATAAACCCATTTTGGCTGCTGCAAGGGAGGCCTGCAGCACTTTTAGTTGTAAACCTCATTTAGAAGAAAAGAGCTGTTTTCTGATCTGAAACACTTAGGTGTGACAAGAAAGCAAAACAAGGGAGGGAAGCACTCTGTATTAACATCCAGCACAAAGATTGATGTTGAAGCAGCTCCTCTTTGGGATACCACATTTAGCTGTGACTCAGAACTAAATTGGCTATACATCTTTCAATTTAGATGTTATGTGTGGACATTACAGCTGAATATTAAATTAAAGGTGGCCTAATAATTGTGTTTGCTATTTCCAAAAGGCGTTTGCCACATGGAGTCTAATATTATTAGTCCAGAATGGTAAATAAACAATCCATTGCACTCCGGATAATTTATTTAATTGTTCAGAGACTAACATATGTCAAGACGAAGCCTGTAATTACACCTGCTTGATATACGACAGACACGTATTTAAAGCACAATTATTGAAACAAAGGAAGTATTTTGATTGGGGTGTGTTTCGCTGCAATGCATTTCAGTGTGCAGTAATGTGATGTTGCAAAACACTGGCGAATTCAAACAGCAGAACAGGTGTCAGCAGAGATGCTGAGAGCTATGGAGTGATGATAGTCATTTTATCAGACGTTTTATCGACTGCCACTCATAACCCCGGACAAACACCTACATCTGGACGGGCTGTGCCGTGCGGCAATGTGTAATAACATATCATCACAGTTCTAAGAGAAGTTGTCAAAGGCAACACCATCACTGTCTATCTCAGCCTTGGCATGCAGAGCGGTGCTGAACACAAACAGGAAATCATACCGGGAAAAACGGCTGGATGATTATTTCCACGGAAAGGCCGCCTTGACGAAAGAAAGTGACATCTGTGATCGTTGGGTTAGTGGAAGCAAATACATTTTGAAGAAAACACGAGTTGTGCTCTCTGAAGGGTCGTCTACTTTTTTAATCACACATTAGCTTCTGCTTTAGGAAGGGGATTCAGATCAGAGAGAAGAAGTGCAAGTGAAGTGAAAGTTTTTAATTTAAATAAAATTGTATGTGTAATTTACTGCTTGCCTGCATTAAGACTTTTTTCCTGTCTGGGCTGTCAGTAAGTCCTCTGGCATCTTGCAGTTCTCACCCACAGCCTGGCAATAAAAGAATCAATAGCCTGAGAGGTGTGAACGTAGCTCTTAAAGAAAAATTTTAACACGTAATCACTATCTAACGAGGTGACTCTAGTCGTCATGGGTCTTTTTGAACAACATTATTTATCGCTATTACCAAAATATATGTCTAGATTTGCATATTGTAATTTGAGTATATCCAACAAGTGGAAACCAAATTAGAAAAAAAGCAGGGAGAC